CTAGAATTTTCCATGGTAAGAGCCCATCCTGGGACAGGCTCTTCTCTCTTAAATTCTTTTAGGCAATTTGGGGGAAGGTCAAATGATCTTCCAGAGTCTTCTGAGCTTTGATTGTCTTCAGCTCAAAATAATCTGCATAAAAGAGTGGCACATCTTGGGGTGGCCTGCCCTGAACCCCATCAAAGGTTTGTGGCAACCCTGCATCAAGCAAGACTATCGGTGCCATTTTTCCCACTGCATTTGCTCACTTTGGGTCTTTGTGTCACATTTCAGTAATACAATGTTTGAAACTTTTCATCATCATCAACTTGTTATACTGATCTGTGATCAGTGATCTTTGATGTTACTATGGTAATCGTTTTGGTGTGCCACGAACTGTGCCCATGTGAGACAGCAAACTAAATTGATATATGTCGTGGGTGTACTGACTACTGTGCCCACCAGCCATTCCCCCATCTCTCTCCCTCTCCTCAGGCCTCCCTATTGCCTGAGACACAACACTGTGGAAATTAGGCCGATTAATAACCCTACAGTGGCCTCTATGTGTTCAAGTGAAAGGAAGAGTTGCATGTCTCTCACTTTAAATCAAAAGCTAGAAAGGATTAAGCTTAGTGAGGAAGGCATGTCAAAACCCTAGATAGGCCAAAAGTTAGGCCTCTTGTGCCAAACAGTTAGCTAAGCTATGAATGCAAAGGAAAAGTTCTTGAAGGAAATTAAATGTGCTGCTCCAGTAAATACACGAATGATAAGAAAGCACAACAGCCTCATTGCTGATATGGAGAAACTTTAGTGTTCTGGATAGAAGATCAAACCAGCCATGACATTCCCTTAAACCAAAGCCTAATCCAGAGCAAGCCCCTAACTTTCTTCAATGCTATGAAGGCTGAGCCAGTGAAGAATCTGCAGAAGAAGAGGTTGACTCTAGAAGAGGTTAGTTCATGAAATTTAAGGAAAGAAGCCATCTCTATAACATAAAAGTGCAAAGTGAAGCAGCAAGTGCTGATGGAGAAGCTGCAACAAGTTCTCCAGAAGATCTAGCTGAGATCATTAATGAAGGTGGCCACTCTAAACAACAGATTTTCAGTGCACATAAAAGAGCCTTCTGTTGGAAGAAGATGCCATCTAGGAATTTCATCACTAGAGAGGAGAAGTCAATGCCTGGCCTCAAAGCTTCAAAGGACAGGCTGACTCTCTTGTTAGGGGCTAATGCAGCTGGTGATTGAAGTTGAAGCCGATGCTTATTTACCATTCTGAAAATGCTAGGGTCCCTAAGAATTGTGCTAAATCTACTCAGCCCATGCTCTATAAATAGAACAACAAAGCCTGGATGACAGCACATCTGTTTACAACACGGTTTGTGGAATATTTTAAGCCCAATGTTGAGACCTACTGCTCAGAAAAAAAAAGACTCCCCCTCAATATATTACTGCTCATTGACAATGAACCTGATCACCCAAGATGTCTGACGGAGATGCATAATTAGAATAATGCTGTTTTCGTCCCTGCTAACACAACATCCATCCTGCAGGATCTGGGCAGTAATGTTGATCATGAATCAAAGAGTAATTTTCACTTTCAAGTCTTATTATTTCAGAAACACATTTCATAAGGTTATAGCTGTCATAGATAGTGATTCTTCTGATGGATCTGGGGAAAGGAAGTTGAAAACCTTCTGGAAAGGATTCACCATTCTACATGCCATTAAGAACATTTATGATTCGTAGGAAGAGGTCAAAATACCAACCTTAACAAGAGTTTGGAAGAAGTTGATTCCAACCCTCACGGATGACTTTGAGGGGTTCAAGACTCCAGTGGAGGAAGTAACTGCAGATGTGGTGGGAATAGCAGGAGAACTGGAATTAGAAGTAGAGGCTGAAGATGTGACTGAAATGCTGCAATCTCAAGACAAAACTTAATGGATGAGGAGTTGCTTCTTATGGTTGAGCAAAGAAAGTGGTTTCTTGAAATGGAATCTAGCCTGGGGAAGATACTGTGAAGATTGTTGAAATGACAATAAAGGATTTAGAATATTACGTAAACTTAGTTGATGAAGAAGTGACAAAGTTTGAGAGGAGCGGCTCCAACTTTGAAAGAAGTTCTGTGGGTAAAATGCTACCAAACAGCATCACAGGCTGTAGACAAATTGTTTGTGAAAGGAAGAGCCTATCGATGTTCCAGACTTCACTGTTGTCTTATTTGAAAAAATCTCCACAGCCATCCTAACCTTCAGCAACAACCACCCTGATCAGTCAGCAGCCATCAACACCGAGGCAAGACTCTTCCCCAACAAAAAGATTACAACTCTCTGAAGGTTCAGATGATGGTTAGTTTTTAGCAATAAAGTATTTTTTAATTAATGTTTGTAATTCTTTTTTTAGTCATAATTCTATTGCACGCCTAATACACTACCGTACAGTGTAAATAAAACTTTTATATGCACTGGGAAACAAAAAATTCATGTGACTCACTTTGCTGTGACATTCATTTTATTCTAGAGCTCTGATACTGAAACCACAATATCTCCAAGGTCTGCTTGTACAATTTCAGCTCATCAATTTAGGTCTTTGATCCATTTTGAGTTAATACTTGCGTGTGGTGTGAGGTAGGAGTCTGACTTCATTCATTTGCATGTGGAGATCCAGTTGTTGCAGTGTGTTGAGAAGACTATTGTTTCCCCCATTGAGTTGTTTTGGCACTCTTGTCAAAAAGGAATTGGACATCAAGAGAACGAGAAGATGAGGCATAGACTAGGGGGAAAATATTTCTAAAAGACATATTTGATGAAAGATTGTTATAAAAATAAACAAAGAACTCTTAAAAATCAACAATAAGAAAACCAAAAGCCCAATTAAAAATGGGCAAAATATCCAGACACCTCACCAAAAAAGACGTACAGTTGGAAAATAAGCCTATGAAAAGATGCTCCACATCCTATGTCATTAGGGAATTGCAAACTAAAACAACAATGAGATGCCAGTACACACCTGTTAGAATGGCAGAAATCCAATACACTGACAACACCAAATGTTGCTGAGGATGCAGAGTAACAGGAGCGCTCATTCATTGCTGGTGACAATGCAATATGGCACAGCAAGTTTGGAAGACAGTTTGGAAATTTCTTACAAAACTGAACATAGTTTTATCCTATGAATCAACAACCACACTCCTTGCATTTACCCAAATGAGTTGAAAACTTCTGTCCACACAAAAACCTGCACACGGATGTTTACAGCAGCTTCATTCATAATAGCCAAAACTTGGGAGCAACCAGGATATCCTTCAGTAGGTGAATGCATAAATAACTGTGGTTCATCCAGACAATGGAATATTATTTAGCGCTAAAAATGAATGAGCTATCAAGCCATGAAAAGACAAGGAGAAACTTAAGTGCATATTACTAAGTGAAAGGAGCCAATCTGAAAAAGCTACATACTGTATGATTCGATTACAACTCTATGACCTTCTGGAAAGGCCAAACTGTGGAGACAGTGAAAAGATCAGCGGTTGCCAGGGGTTAGTGGGGAGGAGGGATGAAGAGGTGAAGCACAGAGGATTTTTAGGGCTTACTGTAATAGTGTGCACACGTCATTCTACATTTGTCAAACCCATGGAATGTACAACACCGAGTGAACCCTAATGTAAACCATGGACTAGGTGATAACGATGTGTCACTGTAGGTTCATCAGTTATAATAAATGTACCAATCCGGTGGGGGATGTTCATAGTCAGGGAGGCTGTGCATGTGTGGGGGCTGAGGGAATATGAGAACTCCACCTTCTGCTCAATTTTGTTGTGAACCTAAAACTGCTGTAAAAAAAAATAAAGTCTATTTTTTAAAAATCTATTGGCCATAATTTTAAATTGGTCATAAATTTTTAAAAATTATTTTCCCATGTTTTTGAATTCTCAATTCTATTCCATTGATCTATGTCTATCTTTATGTCAGTAACACACTGTCTTGATTCCTGTAGCTTTATAGTCAGTTAAGAAATCAGAACATGTAAGTCCTCCAACTTTGCTCTTTGTCAAAATTGTTTTGGCTCTTCTGGGTCCCTTGCACCTCCACATGAATTTTAGGATCAACTTGATGATTTCTGCAAAATAGGCATTTTGGATTTTAATAGAGATTTAACTGAATCCGCAGACCAATTTGGGGGGTATTGCCTTCTTGACAATATTAGGTATTCCAGTCCATGAACATGGGATGTCTTTCCACTTATTTAGGTCTTATTTAACTTTTTTCAATGATATTTAGTAGTTGTCAGTGTACAAGTCTTGCATTTCTTATGTTAAATTTACTCTAAATATGTTTATACATAAATTTTTTTGATGCTTTGTAGGCAGAATTGTTTTCTTAATTTCATTTCTGGATAGTTCATTGTAGACGTATAGAAATACAATTGGTTTTTGTATATTGATCTTGTGTCCTGCACCTTTCCTGAATTGGTTTATTAGTTCTAATATTTCTGTGTGGATTCCTTAGTATGTTGTCTAGGAAAGATCATGTCATCCGAGGCTAGAGATAGTCTTAGTTCTGCCTTTCCAACCTGGAGTCCTTTTGGTTTTGTTTTGTTGGTTTTTTGTTTTGTTTTGTTTTACGGGTTTTTTTTTTTTTTTTTGAGGAAGATTAGCCCTTAGCTAACTACTGCCAATTCTCTTCTTTTTGCTGAGGAAGACTGGCCCTGGGCTAACATCCATACCCATCTTCCTCTACTTTATATGTGGGACACCTACCACAGCATGTCTTTTGCCTAGCAGTGCCATGTCCGCACCCAGGATCCAAACTGGCGCACCCCGGGCTGCCAAGAAGCAGAATGTGCAAACTTAACCACTGCACCACCAGGCCGGCCCCTGGATTCCTTTTATTTCATGTTCTCACATAATTGCCATGGCCAGAGCCTCCAGTAAAATGTTGGATACAAGTGGTGAGAGGACCTCCCGATGTTGTTCCTGAGCAAAGGGAAAGCTTTCGGTCTCTCACCACTGAGCACAACAGCCGAGGGATTTTCGTGGATGGTCTTCGTCAGTTTGGGGGGGCGGAGGTCCCTTCTATTCCAGGTTTGTTGACTTTTTTCTGTGTCTGTTGAGACAATGGTGTGGTTTTTGTCCTTTATTCGATTAGTCTGGCATACTACATTGATTTTCATATGTTAATTCAATCTTGCGTTTCTAGGATAAATCCTACTTGCTAATTTTTATATGTTGCTGGATTCAATTTGCTGGTACTCAGTTGAGCAATTCTGCATTTATATTCATAAAAGATGTTGGTCTGTAGTTTTCTTTCCTTGTGATGTCTTTGCTGGGTTTGGTGTCAGGGTGCTCCTGGCTGTGTAGGATGAGGTGGGAAGTGTTCTCTCTTCTTCTTGTATTTTTGGTGCTTTCTCTTCACTGCATCTCTAGGTGTTTCTCAGTGTAACTGCCTTGCTCACTGGGGTCCAGCACTTGGCCCAGCCATGTCCCTAGAAGTTTACAGTTTACTGCGTCGACCACACTTGACCACGAATACCCATCGGATATTGGAGCCTGTGAAGAGGGTGTGGTGAGAGCCCTTCTCTGGGTAGATGAAAAGTCAGTGCTCTGAAACCCTGCACAACAGCTCTCATGTGGCCATCAGTCAGGCCTTGGGGGAGCTCCTGCATTTTTCTGGGTTTCTGTGAAGGCGTTTCAGAGCAAGGAGCATCTGCTCAGTTATGCTGAGGCCACACAGGAGCGAGGTGCGGGAGGTGTCACCCCTGCAGGAAGTGGGAGCCCATCTGAGAAGCCCCTCAAGACAGTGTCAGCCACATACCAGAAGGGAGCAAGGGGCTGGCTAAGGCAGAGTGTTCCAAGTGGCACCATCTTGCCTGGGAGTCCACCACTCTGTCACCAGCCTGCTGAGCCAGACAGCCTGTAGAGGCCCCTAACGTCCTATCCCACAAACCACATAGAAACCTGACAACATGGAGAGAGTTCTGGGGGAAGAGGATGACTGTTTTGGTTTTGCTTTTCTCGGATGGATTGTCCTCATTTTGCTGTAAACAAGTTCACACCCTGTCACACCAGCCTTTCCACTTTCAAAGGAGTGGAAAGAGCAGAAGGACAAAGACCCCTCAGCCCCAGGAATAAATAAGCCTGGGGGCTTTGTGATGGTCACGTGACCAGACATGTGATGTGTCCCCATGATGCAGGGACTGGCATGAAGCAGATGCTCAGTCCATGACACCTCTCACAGATATCCACAAGTAGGGAGCCATTGTTTGGGTCCCCTAGGCTTGACAGTTGCTCCTGGGCTGGGAGGGGCTGCCATTGATGTCTGAGGGCCCCTAGGTGTGCCCTAAGCTGGAGGGCTGGAGGTCGTCCCCAGGGCTCTGCTTGCCTCCTTTCAGGACACTGTCTGTAGCTGGAAGCTCAGAACAGCCAGCATGAGTTCTGCCAATTTACAGAACACTCCCCACAGCCGGGCGCTCCCTTGTCAGTGGGTGAGGGTGGCTTACTGCCATCCCATTGTGCCAGAGGTCAGGGACTGCCCAGGGCCTCTCAGCCACATTCAGACCCTCATCTTACCAGCGTCTTGCCTGACTCCCGCAGCCCCAACACCTCCCAGGGTCGAGGGGCCTGGATGGTGCCCAGCTGGTGGGGTCTGTGTGTTAGGATGAGGAATCATGTAGGGTATCAGCAGCAGTGTTAACTGGGTGGGCTCCAGATCCCTCCCAGACCTGGACCTTAGCCTCCACCCACCTCCTGAGGCCACCCTGGTGACCTGGGCTAGTCAGTTACCCTGTGGCCTGGGCTTCCTCATCTGTGAGCCAGGCACAGTCATAGGGCTTCCCCAGAACCTGGTGAGCTCTTGTCTTGACCGTGTGAGGTGTGGGCAGGGTGGGCTGAGTGCGTGTGGGACTGTGAGGCAGGGTCCAGTGCTGGATCTGGCACCCAGGGGTGGAGCAGGCCCAGCGTGCTGAGGGGCAGCAATGGGGACAGCAGGGGATTCAGAGCAAGTCCTGTGTGGTTGAACTCAGCCAGAGAGGTCATGAAGCCTAGGGTACCTAGGGACAGCGGTGTGGCAAAAGTTTCTCTGGCACTGGTGAAGCAACAGTGTGTCAAGGTGCAGGGTGGGGACGCAGGGCCTTGGCATTGGGCGCAGGGCTCAGGGTGCCCCCCACTCCCAGTGGGGTGAAATGATAGACCAAACTGGAAGGCAGGGGATGGGGCATGAACATCACTGTCTGAGGTCAGGTGGCCACCTGGGTGAAGCCCAGGGCCACAGCATCACTCCAATCCTGGGTCCTGGAGGCCTGGCCCCATTCTTGGGAAGCCTCAGGTTTCCAATGTGCTCTGGGATCCCAGAGCACAGGAGGGGTTCCTAGCCTGGCTCCCTGGGGCTGTCCCCTCCCCACTCTCAGGACCCCTCCCAAACACCCAGTCCCTTGCTCGAGAGGCAAGCCGAAGGGATCCCCACACTTCCCTGTGGCCTCCTGCCTACCCGGCTGCCAGGCCCTGAGCCTGCCTCATCCAGGCCTCCAGCTGCCAGTGGTTCCAGGCTTGGGTCCCCAGGGCAGGGTCAGAGCAAGGACTGAAGGCTGGTCAGGACCCAGGGAAACCTGTCACTCCCCTCTCATCCTTGTAGGTGCCAGCAGCTGACTTGGTGCTCCTCTCAACTGCCCACCATGGCCCGGGGGCTGCCCAGCACCTCCAGCCTGGCACACTTCTGCCAGAAGCTGAACCGGTGGAAAACACCGGAGGAGCCCACCACAGAGACATCACTGCGGCGTTGCCTGAGCACACTGGACCTGACACTGCTGGGTGTGGGTGGCATGGTGGGCTTTGGCCTCTATGTGCTCACAGGCACCGTGGCCAAGAGGATGGCTGGCCCTGCGATGCTTGTGTCCTTCAGCGTGGCCGCTGTGGCCTCCCTGCTCACAGCCCTATGCTACGCGGAGCTTGCAGTGCGTGTGCCCTGCAGGGGCTCTGCCTACCTGTTCACCTATGTATTCACGGGTGAGCTGTGGGCCTTCCTCGTTGGCTGGATCATGCTCATCCAGTGCCTCCTTGGTGGATCCGCCGTGGCCCGCATCTGGAGCAGCTACCTGGATGTCATCTTTAGCCACCGCATCCAGAGTTTCACTGAGGCCCATGTGGCCATCTGGCAGTTGCCCATCCTGGCCCGGTACCCAGACTTCTTGGCTGCTGCCATCATACTTTTGGTCTTGGCTCTCATCTGCTGTGGAGCCCGTGTCTCTTCCTGGCTCAACCACACCTTTTCTGCCATCAGCCTGGCCATCATCCTCTTCATCATCATCCTGGGGTTTGTCCTGGCCCGCCCGCACAACTGGAGTGCTGAGGAGGGCGGCTTTGCACCCTTTGGTTTCTCTGGCATCATGGCTGGTGCTGCCACCTGCTTCTACACCTTTGTGGGCTTTGGCACCATTGCTTCCTCCAGCGAGGAGGCCCGGAACCCAAAGCGAGCCATTCCTATGGCCATCGCTATCTCAGTTGGTCTGATGGCTGGTGCCAACATCCTTGTCTCCACTGTGCTCACCCTCACGGTGCCCTGGCACAGCCTAGACCCTAACTCAGCCCTTGCTGATTCCTTCCTCCAGCGGGGCTATAGCTGGGCGGCCTTCATCGTGGCAGCTGGTGCAATCTGTGGTAAGGGGCTCTTCTGAACAAGGTGGGAGGGAACAGAGGGGTGGGACCCCTGGAGGCTTAGGGCACACATCTCCATCGGGGCCTGTGCTCCCAGTTGCATCCTGGGCCCATGATTAAACTCTCTACCTGGACACCTTGGGAGGGAGCACTCACCGCCCCTCCCAGTCATACACGGAATGTCAGTTCTGGGCATGTGCTTCCAGATCCTTCCAGGCAGAGGGATTCAGTCCTCGTCAGATTCTCCAGTGGGTCTGTCACCTAAACTAGGGATGTCCCATTCCTGGGTGGTGAGGGGGAGCAATCCAGCACCCACTCTCAGAGCCCAGACAAACTCATGCCCGTGTTCCCAAGGGGCCACCCATGCCCTAGTCCCCAGCAGCAGCCCCCGATGGGCCTGTGCACCATGGTGACCAGTCTCCCACCCTCCTCCACAGCCATGACCACTCTCCTGCTCACCATCTTCTTGTTCGTGCCACGCATGCTCTGTGCCATGGCTGCCGACGGGCTCTTCTTCCAGGTGTTTGCCCGCGTGCACCCCCGGACATGAGTGCCTGTGGTGAGCCTCCTGGTGTTCGGGATTCTCATGGCTTTCCTGGCGCTGCTGCTGGACCTCCAGGCACTGGTCCATTTCCTGTCTATTGGAACACTTCTGGTCCTCACTGTCCTGACCATTAGCATTATCATGCTACGCTTCCGAAAGTCCCCTCCATCCAGTTCTCAGGGCCCAGGCAGCCCTGTGGGCAGAGAGCAGACCTCAGCCCCTGAGCCCGGGCAGCTGCGACCAGCCCTGAGGCCCTACCTCCGCTTCCTGGGTGGGTGCAGGCCTGGAGCCGCTGTGGCCTGGGCCCTCGGTGTCCTGGTGGCCTCAGCCATCACTCTGGACTGCGTGCTGGTCTTCGGGGACTCGGCCCTGCACCTCCCGCCCTGGGGCTACACCCTGCTGCTCCTGCTTAGCTCCGCCACGTTTCTGCTCAGTCTCCTCGTCCTGGGGGCCCACCAGCAACACCACCGGCAGGACACCTTTCAGGTACTTCCTCCAGCCAGCACCCACCGTGCTCAGCCCAGCTGGCTCCCTTCGCCCCTTCCTCCTCTGCCATGGCAGGATGCACCAGGGCCGCAGGGTGGGGGAGGCCAGTACCCCACAACCCTCTCTCTGCATGGCGGGTGGGCCCTTGTCTCCAGAATCTCCAGAGGCAGAGGAAGGCTCTGTGGACTCCCGAGAAATCAGGCCCTGGGCCAGCAGCCCTTCCCTGCAGCCCAGCCCAGCCCTTGTCCCCTCAGGTTCCCATGGCGCCCCTGACTCCCGCCCTGAGCATCCTCCTCAACATCTTCCTCATGCTGCAGCTGAGCTACCTGACCTGGCTGTGCTTGTCCATCGGGCTGCTGATTGGTGAGTGGGGGCCAGGCTGGGACCCCAGGGGGCTGCAGGAGGAGGGCACACAGGGAAGCAGGGCTGGGACCTGCCCCTCAGGCTTATGCCACCCTTGCAGGACTTGTGGTGTATTTTGGCTATGGCATCTGGCACAGCAAGGAGAACCAGCGGGAGCAGCCGGGGTTGACTGCCACACACGGCAGCCTGGAGGAGATGGTGCCAGCCCTGCAGTCCCCCAGCCAGGCACCGGCCCAGGAGCCCAGACTCACGGAGCAGCCCTCTAGTCCATGAGGACTACTGGGACTTGACTGCCCTCCCCCACCTCCTTGGGAGGCCGGAGAAGCTGGCAGCCCCTCTATCTGGGGTAGCTTGGGTTTGCAGGCCTGCCCATGCTGGGGGGTCCTCAGGACCTCAGGACCTTAGCCCAGGTGCCAAGCTTTGAGTCTTGGGGAGTGGGCCATGGGCAGCGCTGGTGTGGGGGTCTCTTTGCCCAGCGTCTTCCAGTTTACGACCAACTCCAGCTACCTGAGCAGGTGGAGTAGGGCGGGCAGGGAAGAGGCCCGAGTCCCAAGGATCCACAATAATAACAGATCGGCCAGCAATGTGGCCTGCTGCTGTGTCCACTGTGGGGTCTTTGTGATCCTTAGTCCTTACCTGTCCCCAGGAACCAGATGATTATCTCCAACCTACAGCACATTTGACAAGGTTCTATAAGGTGAGGGTGCCAGTTCTGGGACAGCCCTGAGCCAGGGACATGGCCAGACCTCGGTCCTGGGATTCTGCCCTCAAGCCAGTGCCCTCTGCCCAGCTCACAGGGGAGCTACACATACCAGGCATAGAGGGGTCCCTGACAGGGCGGGGCCAGGCTCCCTGCCAGGCTCCCCACATGTCCCCTTCGGGGTAGATCCAGAGAGCAGAGCCTGGACCCCAAGGAGGCCACCTAGAAAGGGCAGTGCAGTTCCAGGGTTCCCTCGGTTTCCCAGAGCCCCCAGAGAGCAGGGCAATCCTGAGGCCTGCCCTGGATGGAGAGGGCTCCCTGCCCGGGCACATACATCTCTCAGGCACAGGCCCACATGGCCCACATGGTCCCCTGGGCATGCATCCACGTGCAGACTGAGGCAGCAGCTGTTTCCCAGCCCAGGGCGGCCAGCAGCTTCCAGCGGCGTCTCTCCCTGCCACTCCCTCAGGGCTTTGTGACAAAAGCTCAGGGTGGGACACACGTGTGCCTGTGGGGACACAAGTGCCTGGGCCTGCTCCAGGTACCTTCAGCCTACCTGGTGACAATGGGACCCCATCTTTGGGGGTTCCCAGGCCCCAGAGGGGTCTTGGCTTGGCTCCTGCAGCCCCATCCCTCCCCTCCTGACCGTGGGCCCAGGACATGGGGAAATTCTCCAGCAGGCAGGACTTAGGCCCCCAGGAGGATTCCAGAGCCTGAACCAGGTCAGCCTGCTGGGGGCCCCGTGTCCTCTGTTAGGGACATTCTCTCCAGCCCCTGGGCTCCCACTGGGGTCTTGGTCAGAGCGTGGTCCTCGTGCAGTTGCTCTGGCTGGAGTAGGCAGCTGCCCAGACATATTCTTGGGTGTGACCTTGGGCAGCAGTGACATATGTGTCCAGATATACAGCCTCCCCACCCCATGGCTCCCAGGAGCCCAGTGAGCAGGTTCCAGGGCATTGGGCTGGGGGTTACAAAGGAGACAGACAGAAGGACCCAAAGGACCCCATGCCCACCAACTCAGCCCCTCTGCTGCTCCCATCCCAGCCCTCCACAGCCCGAAAGCTAGCACCAGGAAGGGGCTGGTACTCATCAGCTGAGCAGGTATGGGCCCAAGAGGGTCCTGTGCCCTTAAATGGGGTCCTAGGAGGTCGGATCATCTGCCCACCACACTCCTCGCTCCGTGGATGAGGCCCAGAGCTGGGAGGGGCCCTGACCTGGGAACCCAGCACAGAGCAGCTGCCACAGCTCCTCTTGTCAGGCTGCCTTCTCCCTGGCCTTGGACTCTGGCTGCACAGACCCCAGTGCGGGGCAGCTGAGAGGGCAGGGGCTCTCCCTGTCAGAGGGTGCCAGCAGGGGGAGGAGGGCTGGGAGCCAGGCAGGCCCAGAGGCGACCACCGCCAGTGTGGTGGACAGCTGGAGAGCGGGGAGCTGCTGGGAACACTGGAGACGGGGCCTGGGAGAGCGTCTCCAGCCCCAGGCGGAGCCCCACTGGACCAGGGCCCTGCATCTGTTCCCTGCAGTCTCTACACAAAACTGGCTTCTGTGGTCCCCAGGCAGCACCTGCCGAGGCTGGAGCTCAGGGAGGGACAGTCTATCTGGGAGCTGAAGGGTAGAATTCTCCCCCCACCTCTGCCCTGGTCCTGCCAGGGCTTCAGCCATGAGTAGCCAAAGTTGGACCCCCAACCTTTCCAGTCCTCAACCCCCAACCAGCAGAGAAAGGCTACAGGCCTCAGGAATGGGCCAGCGAGTGGGTGCCAGTCCCACCCTGGTGACGGTGTCCAGCTCCCAGCAGAAGCAGTGGGGACAGGTGCTGGGCCCCGTCTAAGGCACCTGGGCAGCCAGATGTGAGGGTGGGGAAGCCGCCTGTCTGCTCAGGGTTGGCAGTTCCCTTTGGGGCCTTTGCCTGCAGATGAGGACAGCAGGGCGGGGCTCCAGCCACCATCCTCCAAAGTGTAGCCCAGGGTCAGGCAGGCCCGCAGCCCCCTCCTCATGCTTGGTCCTCCAGTAGAAATGGGCTTCTCCATCCACGTACAACAGCAGTAGGTCACAGAAGGGGGTGATCTGGGAGAGGCAGAGCAGACACACGGCCTGGCCCCCAAACTGCCATCCCACCGCCTCCCCAGCCCTCACCCCAAGACTCAGTGTCAGCCCTGAGAGCCCGGGGGTACACTCAAGGGGCACATGGTTGCCAGCAGCTAGAGGGAGCCAGGATGGTCAGACTCACCACACCCAGCCGGGCCGCTCCAGTGCCCAGAGCGAGGGTTGTGAGGATGAGCCCGAACTTCCCTGCCTGAGAGAGACCTGGGCTGAGCCTCTCTGCCTGTGGCTGTCATTCCTCCCACCCCTCACCCCTGCCCACCCCACCTGCCCCAGCCTGGCCCCTACCTGCCCAGGGACGAGGATGTCAAAGCGGATCCCGTAGAGCTGAGCAGGCTCCGGGCCTCCACGCCTGAGGCCTCCCCCCACTGAGCGGCTGTTCTGGGGCAGGAGAGAGTCCAGTGGCTGCTCTGCCCACTCCTGGGTGGCCTGGCCCTCACAGGCCTCATCTTACTCATCCACTGACTCCATCCACCCCAGCCTGAGTCCTGGGTCTCAGCCCTGTGTCACTGCTGACGACACAGGGGACAAGCAAGCTGGGACCTGCCTCTCAGAAGCTCCCTGCCTGCTGAGGGGACGGGGATAGAGGGGTCCCTAAACAGACACTGGTAGTGGGGATTGAGGAGGTGGGGCATCCCGGGGCTGTGGGGTCCAGAGAGGGGCACTCACTCTCCCCCGGGAACCAGGGAAGACTTCCTGCCAGGAGACCCTCAGGCTGGACTCCCAGGGCTCAGGGAGGAGCTCTAGGCAGAGACAGAGGGCGGGGAGAGTGCAGAGGGGAGGGGAGCAGGGTGTGGGCGGGTCCAGCCCCACATGGTTGCACAGGGCTGGGGGGCCAGCGAAGCCAGGCCAGGAGGACCCAGCAGGCAGTGTCATGGGCGTCACCTCCAGGGCTGGTGGCTGTGTGCACATATGTGTGAGGGTGACGAGGTGACATGAGGGGGCAGAAGGATGGGACAGTCTCCTTAGGAGCCTCAAAGACATGAGAATATATGCAACGCAAGAGCCTTGAGTGCATCTTGGATTAAAAAATAAAAGATTTAGGACCATTTCTGGCACAGCTGGGGAAATTTAATATTAGATTTATCTGCCAATGTTAAATTTCCTGAGTGTGAGAAGAGAACAGCGGTCACCTGGGGAAGGTCCTCATTCTCAGGACAGCAGTGAGAGGGGTGAGTGTCTGGATACCTGCCACTTACTTTCCAACAGTTTCCTGTGAAATCCATCTAAATATACCCGGTTCTCGAGAGAGGAAGAGAGAGAGGAAATGGGGCAGAATGGTGGAAAAAAAAAAAAAAAAAACACAAAAACAAGTGTGGTGAACCCAGATGAAGGCTACATGAGTTTTTGTGGGACTAATCTTTGAGGTTTTCTTTATATTTTTGTAATTTTTAGATAAAACCTTAAGGGAAAAGTAACAAGAAAGCCCCTGTGCCGTGGAGGGAGGTGCTGGAGGCAGGGCGGAGTGGAGGAGGGGCTGGGGTGAGGGGTCCCAGCTGCAGCAGGGTGTGGGGACAGACGGGGTGTAGGCCAAAGGGCTCAGGAGGGAGGCTGGACGGAGCCTGTGCTGGGGGACCTGGAGCTGAGAGACCCCCTCCTGCGCTAGGACCCCCTCACACGTCCAGAGTGTCCAGAGGGATGGGCCAGGCTGTGGTCTGTCCCGGCCACCACAGGAGGACAGGTCGGGGAGGACCTGGCTGAGGAGCAGCGGGCGGGCAGTGGGGCCGCACCTGAAGTTGTAGCTCCACTCCTGCAGCTGGAAGGAGTCGTGGGGCTGGCAGTCCGAGCCCCTGGCGTCCAGGTCACAGTCCCAGCGGACGTGGATGCCACAGCACCGCCCTGCACACAGTGCATCACTGCTCCACCAGCACGCGGGCCCCAGGCCCTCTTCCCGAGGCCTCCCGGAACCCTGACCCCCACGGGCCCACCATCAATGCCAGGTCCTCAAAGACACCTCCAGCCATGGCCATGAGGTCCCGATGCAGAACACAGGACAGCAGGGGCTGAAGCGTGGGTCACAGCAACAGAGCTTGAAATAGGTGGTGTCCCAAGTCTCTAAGCCAGTGGACCTGAGAGGGGGTGGGGCCAATGGTCGGGCCAGGAGGGGACAAGGATGATCAGGGCCAGCCAGGACCCACCATGCTTACTTGGAGAAGCTGAACTTGCTGAAGGTGACAGTGATTTTGATGAACAGCGTGAAGTTCTCAGCCTGGACCAGCAGGGGCTTCCTGCAGGTGGGGGAGGTAAGGGCAGGCTCTGCGGGTCCTGGGACCCTGCCCTGGATGTCGGAGACACTTACACAGGCACAGTGTCACTCTCCATGGGGCACCAGCCCCAGATCTCACAAGTCCTTTGGGTCCCCTTAGAGATCACACACTGGCCCATTTTTGTGCCTTGAAAACACAAGACAAACTCCAGGCCTCCAATCCCCATAGGGCCTGGGACGGGCGTGGGCAGGGGGCTGCTGGCAGAAAGAAGAGACACAGAGACACCACCAGGCCTGC